AACTGGGTGCCTATCCTAATCAGTATTTTAAAATTCATTTTTTACGTTTATTTCTCCATATTTCTCCTTTTTATTTTATTTTTTAATCAGGTGACAGATCCATACCATGAGGGTCTATAGGGGTGGAAGGAGTGGGGCATAAGTCTTCATGCATGTCATGACATCATCACACAACAGTGTGAATTAAATACTGTAGTTTGCACACAAATTGCAGAATGCGTAGTGACATCCTGTGATCTATATTCAGCCTTTCTGGAATCAAATCTGCCTCTTGAAGGAAAAAAATGTTAAGAGAGCCTTACCCCACATTTTTCATCATGTACCAAAGACCTGCTAGGACTGTCCATTTAGCCAAGTAGACATTTGTGGACCCAAGAGAAAATAGTAGGATTGGTTGAACCAGGAACATATTACCCAGTTAGCAGATCTAATCATGTCTCATCTTGAACATCCTGAATTGATGGCATGTTGATCAGGCCCTGTCTGAGAACATATAATTGGAAGGAGACTTTATAATGTATAGCTACCTAAATACCCCCTAATGCAGAAGGTGCTGTAATGTTTGGATTCGGTGTCATAATATCCTTCTAAAAGCAGCCACCATCTGCTAGCAAAGCTCTTTTTGTAACACCGTCAGCAGGCAGGGGTCGGTTGGAGACCAGTTTTAGCATGACAGTATTGCATATTGAAAAATCACTTAGCTGGAGAGATAAGTGCTTGATGGTGTAGAACTACAATAGCTGTTTCTTTGATAAGCCGTGATATCTCAGCAATACATTTCTGGTTGGTGGCATCTAATCTGAAGCCAGTTTTATATCATCCCTAATCGCTTTTGGATGGGTAGGAAAGTAAGGAAAATTATATTATCGCTTATGGTAAGACAGAAAAATATAAAATGCTTGGTTTATTTCCCCGCTGTTCAGCCCTGTTAATTTTCTTATTCATCGCACACCTTCTTAGATTCTTTTGACACCCATTGACCCATCGTTTTGCACTCTTAAATATTTTACTACAGAGCACTTAGAATATGTACTGGCGTGGTAGCAATCTCTCGAGGTCACCTATGAGTTTAATAACAAGGTGCAAACCAATGGTTCTGTAATGCCTATTCTGGGTTCTCCGTGCGTATTTTTTATGGAATCTACTGTTAAAGGCTGTTAACTTATCAATTGGTAATTGCAAAGGTTAAGGGAGCTTGTATTATGTAATGTAAAGAAATGGTGTGTCAGATTCAAACATGACACTGCAAACCCAGCCAAGGTGAAAAAAAAAACTGCACCTTTAGAAGAACTTAGTTGTATAATTTGTCCACTTTTGTATATTTCGAGTAGTCCATTTTCCATAGGCCAGTCATGCACAGGCAGCATTTGCACTGCGGCATTCTTTCATGTTGGAAACAAGTTGGATATAGATCATCACCATTTGACTGGGATGCTGGTAGTTCTTTTGCCGTGAAGCAGGCCCACCTTGGCTAGGACATAGGAAACTGCAACAAATCATATTTAAGGCATGCTGGGTTTTATAGTAGGTATCGAGGGAAGAGGAGATACAGTACATACATTTTAAATCCATCCTGGCAGATCATGAGTCTTACTGAAGAGGACATTAACCTCAGGGCACCATAACTGGTTGATGGCATCTAATCTGAAGCCAGTTTCATATCAAACCAAACTGTTTTTTTCCTTATTCAATCTTTCAAGGGATCCTTGTGAGTTATGTTAGGACGCGTGAAGGTAGTGGACAACTTGTAATTCTACAAATGTTGCAGAAGTACAGTTCCCAGCATCTGCTACCATGAATGGAGGACCACAGGTCACCTAGTGAATACCCTGCCTGGGAGACTCTAGCCATAGTTTTTTACCATCTCTCCAAAATCATAGGACATGGGGGAGACTGTGGTAGGACTTGCTATATAACTGAGAGTTTCCTAGAGCAAAAATAGGCCCTTCATCCTGGATTTCTTGTTTGGGCAGCTAGGCCAATCTACAAGGAAGAGCAACTATTGTATTCTGAAAATGGAAAGCATTTGGAGTGGTGCACTGGTACATGCACATATGAGCAATATGCCTCCAACATGCACATGCACCCATATCCCACTATGATTTTGACTCCTTTTCCTGGGACAATGGAGAAGACCATAAATATTTCCACCCAGGGAAGGGAAAGGAGATAGCTGTGCTTCCATTATAAAGGATAATGGAAAAGCAGTGATTTGGACTTCTGTGCTGCTGGTGGAATTTGGTGACAAGATGGGAAGGCGATTTGGCAAATGCAATAATCTGGGGACCGAGTATAGATCCCTGACTACAGATCCCCCACCCCCCACCCCTTTTCAATATAAGACAAAATCTTCAGGCCGGAGAGAATTCTATTCAAATAATACTATCAAGGCTGTAGAGAGTGGAAGCAGTTTCCTATGTGCAAAAGTATGCACTTTTTCTCAATGAATGATTTTTATCGGACTGTTTTGATTGCGTTGTTACTTTTTAAGCTGCTTTGGATTGCTTTTAAGTAGAGAAGCTGATAAAAACTCTTTAAGTAAAAGGAATAAAACTTAATTCCAGTTGTCCCCACAGAGTTTCAAAATGTAATGCCAAGGTAAATATGGAATGAGTTGCGGTCGAAGTATGAAATATATCACTCACTGTGGCCTTGGCATGTGGTTAGTCATTTGGAGGGCTTAGAAATATTTGTGTTTGCTAATGCATAAGTGACTTTGCCACAGAACATTGTTGAGCTTTAATTTGTCTGGTTAAAAAAATGAAATAGCTGGAATGGAGAAAGAAAAATGGTTGCAGTTCTGTAGAGCTTCCAAGATTGTGTTACATATAAATTTTAAAAATGGGTTTGAGCGTGGAGATAAAAATAAAACAATTTATTTCCTAAGCTACTCCAAAGCAGGGATGGGAGAGAAATGTGTTCTGTCCATGTTTCAGGGCAAATGTACCCAGTCCACATTACCCAATCTATACATCAGTTTTCCTCAACCAGATGTTGTGTCAATGTATTGGGACTACATCTCCCAGAATTCTCAGCCCTATATCTGGAAGGCATCAAGCTGGAGAGAATGGGAACACAATTATAGGTTGTTATCTTTTGTTTCCCAAAGGTTGTGATGCACTTTGCAACTCAAAAAAAGATATAGAAAAAACATTATTGGGGAAAGTGGGCAGAGTTGCACATAAAGAACACATCATTCTATGTACCTTGTAGAAATGCAGAATGGGTACAAACATTTTGGTGTTGAGTTCAAATTTTAAGAAGAGGGTAAATATTTCATGAGTACATTTTTTATCAACCTGCAGCTATGTATGAAGCCAGTTGTGAGCTCCATACCAAGCTGAAGTTGGACCTATTCTTATTGCCAGTTAACTAAGATCTCATAACAATTGGAGTTTTCCAAGAATATTTGTGTGGTTTACCAATAAATAGAAGGAACAAAGCACTTAATCCTTTATCATTAAACCACACTTGGACCAGGAAATCTTTCAAGTAGAGTACAGTCCTTTGTAAAGTTGATCACATGGACCATTGGAAGGGAAGTGGTGATAAACTCAAATTTATGAAATTATGCACTTAAGTGTGGGACTTTTTTAGAACTTATCCAAGAAATGTGACTCAAAGTAGTCAATGAATCACTGAGCAAGTGTTAAAAGAATAAGATATAACATAATTCGGGGACCTGTTGAAATCTGCATTAATTTGTATTCTTGACATGCCAGTTTCCTTGGGGGAATAAACCCAGTATTCAGTTATAGTGAGGATTGCAGAAATGTAATGCTTACAGTAGGGGTGTCGGGATGTGTGTGTTTATGTCAAAAATGTCAAGATGGTGGCCACCATAGCATGATTGAACCCCCACCTCTTTTTGACATGTAACACATGTAAAAAAGGACAGGACTTGAATTGCACATTTCCAGCTACCATCTTGATTTCTTTGGCGACTGTTCCTCCCCTGCAGTTCCCTTATGGTGCAATAATAATGTACATGTGTGTGCATGTTTCAGAAGCATATGAGCCATAAAATCAAACTGTGACATTCCCTCTTTTCTAAAAAGTGAACAATATAGCTTTGGAAACCATTGTTG